GATATTAAATCAAGCATATTTAATCAACATCATAATTAATTTAGTTTTTTAAATAAAAATCTTTATTTTGTATGTAAAGAAATAAAATCAAATGCATAATTATCTAGAAACTATGAAAAATTAAAATTGATATTATAACTTAAACTTTGGAGGTTATGTGCAAACACTACACAATATTTTGTACACAATATTTCGTAAGATCGTATTATACATATAGCATGACATAATCTCGAAGACAAGAAGATAGCCCACATTGTAACTTCGTCGGAATATTAATGTCCGAAATGAGACAACTGTCCTTCGAAATCGTTTATCCGATATTGCACGAACATCTCTCTGATATTGACACTCGATATCCGCTTGACTACGAACTTTACATGGTAACATAACCTACTATGCGTAATATCCAATTTATTCAACGCCCGTAGTGGTCAACAACATATCCCATCAACGATATTCCCCTTTGACATTTCCTTCACCATTTCTCCTTATCATCCCACTCATTTATTCACCACTGAATCTTCCACGAAAATGTACAAGAGCGAAGGTTGGATTAAGTTAGGTTATAGAATTACACGAAGCAGTGGTAACAACAATATCTCAGAGATATCCGAATACAAGCTGTAATGGTATTCGAATAACGATGGTGATTTGAAAACGTAGCAAGTTTAATCGAAGAACGGATGAACGTTTGTTTTCTTTTATTATATAGTACACTATTCTTTCAATTTCAATGATTTTTAAATATATTGTAAAAATAATATTTGAAAGAATTTTTTTCTCTCATGAAAATATCGAATTCTCTTAGTTTCAGAAATATTTGTAAAAAATTACTACTACATTGAAATTCAGTTATACGTATATGTTCATGTAAGTACATCAGTATGCGATCGACGTTTATCTATTGTTTTCGTGAATACATCGCCACAGCTGGTGTTCGAAATGTTTGACGAGTGAACCAATCAAAAAGTACTTTCTCATCGATTTTGATTGGTTGAAATATCTCAATTCCAATCTATAACGAATTTGGGCATTTAGCGAATTGTTTGGATATAAAATATAAAATATATAAAATTTATTACAATTAAATATAAATTTAAATTTATTATATTTAAATACAAAATGTATAGAACAATCTTTAAGTGAAAATTTTTAAAAATATAATGATAATTGTTGATAAAACTATTAATAGATAATAGATATAAATATGATTTTGATATATTATAATATATTATTATTATAATCAATCATTTTAATTTTATCAAAATATATTATCTTATAATTTATATATCATGAAAAATCTGATCTTATTAAAAATTTTTGTTTACATAAAGAATAATGATATTATAATGAGTTATACATAAGAAAAATTTTTTTTAATAGATAATATCTGAGTATATAAAATCAATCTTTAAATTTTTATGATTTTTCCATGTTTTGCATACAATTTCAATTGAGAATATTTTTTTATAATAAAATATTAAAACTTGAATATTTTATAGTTTAATATTTTACTTTATCTTATACAAAGTTATATTTCTATTAAAAAGTTATATTTTTATTAAAAGTTATAAAACAAAAATAATAGTGAAACTTTAAAAATTGATTTTATTGAAAATAATATTCCATTAATAAAAAAATTACTCTATATATATAATCCATTGTGTCCTATATAATATTTCATATAAAATAGAATTATTATTACTTTGATAAATTTTAAATTGAATTTACATGAATATATTTCTACTTATTTATTGTACACATCACATACATTTAAATTATATCACTAATATATCTTCTAATACTTAATTATCTCATTATTATTTACTCGAATATTCCAAAAATTATTTCCATTTGGATATCTTATAACTCCACATACTTGGAAAATTTGTTTTATCCAAATCGGATTTGATAGACTATAATAATGCTCATTTTAGTCCGCAGATGCAAATCGAATTTTGCGAATTCAACTGAAAGAATAAGATACTAATCAATACCACATATGAAGTAAATGATCGTTTTATTTTTCGATATCGACAATTTATAAATTAACAAAAGAGAAAAAAATAAATGTAAATAAATAAGATATCGATTCTCGACAAACGCGAATTCAAGCAACTATGAGCCAGGCAACTGGTGACTCCTCTCCCCATTGACTGTGACTCCTGAGCAGCGGGATAAGAAGCAAGAAGATAGGATAGGACTAAGATTCTACAGTATATTTAATATATCGAATATCAGTAAACAAAACTCATAATCATTAGTGCACATGAGAGAAGCAATGACTATAGCTATTGGCTGGCATTAAGAAATGAATTCGTGAAAGAAATGAATTCATCATCATTATAATTTGTATTTTTGCCTGCTTAGTTTCTTTATTTATTTATTTATATTTCTATTTGTTCTATTATCTGTTATATAGTTTTGTTATTGTGTATTTATATTTAATTTTATATTTATAATATTTAATATAATAAATATAATATTATACATATTTATATTTATTATATATTTATAATTATTATGCTACGAAATTAATAAATTAAAAAATTAGTAAATTGAAAAAATTGGAAATACATAATCCATATAATTTTTTTCTTTTTTAATTCTTTAACTCTTTTTATTGTTCTTCTTTTTCAAAATTCGTATCTATCTAATAATAATTGTCGAAATTTTATACTTAGCAATTTAATTAGATTCAGTTTTTTATATTTTTACTTTCTTTTCCGGTCTATTTCCATTTTTTCTTTATTTTTGTTTATTTTTCTTTTTTAAAACATATAAAAAGAATACCATTGTTTTATTCATATGCATTTATTTTGATGAACTGATGGTTCGACTTCTTGAACAGATAATATATTATTGTGTATGTATTCGCAATCACATAAATACAGTAAATATGCAATAATTAATAAGGCAATCGACGCATTGATAAGAATCGTAAAGTGATGATTGTTGATCACGAAATAAAGATATTGTGAATCTGCTATAAGCTAAAATTTAGTTTGATATTTTTGAAGATTATAAAGTTTGCAAATATTGATAGTAATAATGATGGGTTCTTAAATGGGCAAAAAGCTAGAAGCTTATATATATATATATAAAGCGAATATTACTAGCTTTATTCATGAAAATGGCAAATATTACGAAAATTCTTCAAATGAAAATAACGAACGCTGATTCGTTTTTTTCTTTTTCTTTTTTTTTTTTTTTTGAGGGCGCCACAATAGCAAAGGATCACGAGAAATTGGTCGTTAAAGCGAGAAAAATCCCTCCAGAGAAAAAATGCGTCAAATGAGGAGACAAAACCTCATTCTGGGAATGTCCCTACGGCACATATCTCTTACGTGGAAATATTGGTCGATTTTTTTTTTTGACAACTGATTCTCCAGCTAGGCCTCAACTCGCCATCTCGACAATTTATACGATCATATCGTAACTCACGAGCTGATTACTAAACAAATCAGATTCTCTCTTTCTCTTGTTATCGACATGCTAAGAAATCAAATGTAGAATTGTTTTTCGCCATTAATTTTTCGCTTTATCAATCAATTTTTAAGATTGTGAATATATAATTAGTATTGGAAGTTAATTTCGAAATTAATCGAAATATTGGAAAAAATAAATAATATTGTTTATTACAATTTTTTATATTCGATATTTTATTGTAAATTAATTTTTTTAGAAATTATTTCTCTTTTTTTTTTTGTCCATTATTTTGTACACGCTAACTATGTTCATTCATTTGTTCATTCAATATAAATAAATAAAATGTGAATTAATAAAAATATAGTTTATATATAGGATGTCATGTAATTAATAATATGATCGATCAGAATTTTAAAATTAATTATAAAAATAAATTTAAAAAAGAACAATAAAATTTTTCCATTTAAAGTTTCAAATAAATCAGTTTATCGATTGCAAATGAAACTGATTGATTCTTGATTGCATATGAATGAATTATTGATAGTAGCTTATTGATAATATTTTATAATATGAAATAAAATTTAAGTCCCTGTTTTTGAAAAAAAATAAAAATGAACATCACATTATCACATATTTTTGTGAAAATTATAAATTACTTTTATCATATAATTGTCAAATTTTCAAGTTCAATTTTCTTAGAAATTGATTTTAAAATAAGAAAAAATTATATAGAATATTCTCTTATCAGTCTCTTATCATTCGATAATTAGACAATTTCACTTGTATTTGAAAATGAAATTTTGCAAATTTGATTTATTCGAAAACGAAACTTCAATTAAAAAAAAATTTTATTCTTTTTTTAATTTATTTTTATACATAAAAATCTTTTACACTAATCTTTACTATCAATTACAAATTGATCTCATATATTTTTATGTTTTTACAAATATATGTTCATTTACTGTTATAAATATTGCATTTTTAAAACTTTTTATATACGTAGAAAATTTAAAAATTATTAAGTTAATAATATTATATAATTCCTACATTTTAGTTTTTAAAATTTTGAAATATAAGCATAAATTTTATTTTAGAAATTTCAATTTAGAATATTTTGAATTCTCGTAAAAAAATGATAAAAATTATGTTATAATTTCATAGTTCGAAACAATTATCAAATTTTGTCATAAATTCTATTTATAATATACAACTTTTTTAAAAAAGTTGTCACATTATAAATCCCCAAATAAATAGAAAATAGATGAAAAGAAATTCTTGAAAATAAATAAATATTTTACTTTAAATAAAATATATCAAACATATAAAAAAAGTTTTTTTTATTGCAAAACAGATATTTTACTTATTAGTATTTTCAAAATCTAAAGAAACTTTTTTATTTCATGTATCGAATATATAAAAAATATACAAAAAAATGTAGATAGCCTGCTTATTATTATATACAAATCTTCCAAATATATAAAAAAATTTTCTTTAAAATTTAAAAAAATTCGAAATAAATCGTAAAACGAGGAGAAAAAGTGAAATTTTGAAATCTCGAAATGTGTTCATAGGATTCGGAGCTGTGCATTTCCTTGGGGTTGAGTTTGCAGTACCTTCGAATGACGGTGGTTTGTTGGCTGGCTGCGATGTGTCATCATCTTTACGCAACGGTCGCATCGATTCCACGCCGTGACGATCCACCGACTTACCTCAAGTACAGCATCTTCGCCTGGGGTGCACCATTTCTCAACCTCGCCGTTGCCATTTTTCTACAGATTCGCGAGGCGAGCAATATTTGGAACATTGTGGATCTCACTCCTTTTAATTGCTGGTAAATTTTATTCTTTTATTTTCTTTTGCTTTTTTTTAGATGAATTTCGTTATTTTATTGTATGCAAATTTTTGTCCTCTCTTATTTACAATAAACCTTGTCAATTTTCATCATTTTCAGATAAATAGAGAAATATTTGAAAATATTTAATTTTGTACGAATTATTTAAATTTTTATGAAATATTCATTGTACATTATGATATAAATATTGTTAAATATAGTTAAATATGATTATAATTAAATTTTGAGATTGTGTTTAATTAATTTAAATTTTCTTTAACAGAATATTCAATAATATATAAATATTATAATGTACAAATGTTAAATGTGATTATATATATTGCGATTATATATATATATATATATATATTTAAAAAAAGAATTATTTTTATTATAAATTCATCAGTATTTGTATTGAAAAAAAGTTTTTCATGAAAATTAACAATATACAGAATTCATAAAAAATAACTAGAGTTTCTGAAATTTCATATTTATATAATAACACTTTTATATATATAATTTTGAAAAAATACTATCATATTGGCATGTTTTCAAACGACAATATATTAATTTCATTTTTGATAGATTATGATATTTATTTTAAATTATTTTTAACTTCCCATTTTTTATTTTTTAGTGATGAAAAATGATTTTTAAATTATGAATGTTATAATATATATAAATAATAGTTTGAATAAATATTTCATTCTATAATGGATTCGAAACATACCTGCAAATAAAATATCACATTTTATATATATATTTTTTTATTGGCTTAACATAATAGAAAAATAATTAACATACTTTCAATACACTATACGATGATCACTTTTAAATTTGTCTGGTACAAGCATTTTTAGACTTACATAAAGATTTCAGAAATTGACTGAAAAAACTTAAATGATATAATTCTTAAAATGATTTCAAATATCTTTTTCCTATAAGAATTTCGTTATGGTTTTGTTAATAAATTATGAAAAACATTGACCAATCACAGAGCGCGTAGATTTGCAACAGTGTTGGTTATGTACTATCAATAATAATCAGATTCGAAACAAATCGAAGCAACATATATCAAAGCAAATGTGCAAAATAATTGTTGGATAAAAGTTATATCGAATTATATCTTATTTACGAACAATGATTAAATAATTAGCTTTTATTTATAAAAAAAATTTATTCGTCATTCAAAATAAATAATTGTATGAAAAAAACGAATTATAAAACTTTTCTAACAGATAAATAATATATATTTGAAATAAATAAATAAACAATAAGTTACAGTCTGTATTGAATTAAAAAATAATTTACTAAATAATTAAATTAAATTTATTTATTTAACCAAAAATTCAACTCGAGCTAAATATATCGTTTAAAATATATCACTATATTGTTCCCATCATTGGATCAATATTGTTAATGGACGAATTAATTTATGATAAATTAGTACAAATCTGATTACAAATAATTCATCAAAAAATAACAGGAAAACCATGTATCGTCGCGTGCTTATCGTTCACTTCACTGTACAATCACTAACACTCATCACTTGTAATCCAATAATAGGATTCATGGATTTAGTTAAAAGAATTGAATTTATATTTCTCGAATTATTTCCATGATAAAGAGATTTATAGCTCAAAAAGGATTAAAATGCCTTACTTTATAATTAAAAATAACAAAAATAATAAGATAATAATAAAATTAGATAATTCTTTTAAATAATTCCAAAAGAAAAAACATACATTTATTTAATGCTCATAGAGATCATATTGCAACCAAATCCATCCATCGTGAAAATATTTTTATATAAATGAACATTTTTTCAAAGCTCATGTTAAAAAGACATATTATATTAAAATCGCCATATTTTATAAATTATTAATGATTATAATGTAATTAGCGGATTTGTGCCGAGCATGAATAAATTGTAAATTGATATTTTTTGTTTCAAAAAATGTTGTGCGATTATTATTACATTATTCCAATATCCAAAATATATCATACTATATATAAAAATATATAACAAAATATATAACAACACACATTTATCGCAAGACTGCCGGACAAAGACTAATTTTCAATGCCTGACAACTTTTCACACTTTGATTTGGGAATAATAGAGAGGAAAAAGCTAAACTAATAAGAAACTATGCGATTGGTACACCGCCTATCGGAATACACGCGTAATTTTCACATTATGGTAAATTGTGGATTTTTTCAATCATGATATTAAATGTCATGATTTTTATTGTCATTATATTACTATAACATTAAATTTAGTATCGCATATGTTGTCATATAATGTCACGATAAGAAAAATTATGATAGTTAATATCACGTAAAAATTCGGTAGGCGGCATAGCAATCGCATCGTGTCACTTTTTTTCTAGTTAGTTTTTTTCCCCTATTTTATGCGCAAATTAGTGAGTGTTATAAAGTATCGTATCTTCGAGCTTCATTGCAATTTTTGATCGACTTTATTTTAATATAATATTTATGATAGTAATATATTTTTATTTCATCGGTATAATAGTAAATCGGCATTTATTTTGTGAATATGTAAATGTTCAGTGACAATGAAGTAAACTGACATTTTATTAACTTCGATACGATTTTTTTTTATGTTTGACATCAATTGATAATTGAGAATTTGATTGGCTTTTCAAGACGATTCGACCTAACAACATTATATTTGATATTGCCGAACAGTTTTGCGGATTGATGAATCTTATACAATTTAATAATTTACATAATTTATGTATGTATTAAGTAATACAATATCTTTTCTAAATATTAATAATCAAATAAATATTTTAATATATGTTTTAACTTTAAAAATACATCAAACAATCGATTTATAATTTAAAATAAACGTTCGATATTTTTGCATTACCAATTTTCATTTTATTTTAAAATTAACAAAATTTTTTTTTCAAAATTTCTATCTATTTAATAATATCTACATATATTATAATAATATATAATTTTTATATATATTATAATTTTTGATTCTTAAATTTAAAATAAATATTTTTTTATATTATATCATTTTATTAAAAATATAATCAATTAACATATTTATACGTTAATTTTCATATTTGTCTTTTAATTATGTCTATTAAATTTTCTATCTAAATTCCTGCAAATACTCTATATAAATTTTGAGATTTTTTTATCATTCATATTATTAAAAATGTCATTTATTAATTCAAAATAATTACATTATCAAAAGAATAAATATTCATCAAAATCACTTTACTTTTATAAAATTTTAATATTCTTTCAAAAACTAATGAAAAAAATATTCGTTACGTAATTTTAAATATCGTGTCACAATCTAATAATTGTTCATATTTATAAATTTATAAAAATTATTATGTTTTACCATTAAGAAAAAATTGCGAGTGAAACAATATCGAAGTGCGATAATTAAATATCCACATATTTCGAAATAGAAATATCGAATCAAACTAAATTTTAATCTCTCGTTCTTTCGCTCAAATTTCTTATCGATTTTTTATTGTATTTTATTGATAAGCGCTATACGATAATTATTATAATATTATAATAATTAATGAAATTCTTTATTATTATCTTTATATGATATACTGGATAAATCAGCTATTTATAATGACACTAAAAGCTGAAATATTTAAAATATTTTTAAATTTTTAATTACAAGTTTCAAAACAAAAGTTAAATTGTTATGATACAGAAAAATTTGATATAATTCATTTTTTTATAAATACTTAAAAAACGTAAAGACCAAATTTATTTTTTTAAATAGAATTATCAATTCATTATTTTCTATAAAATGATATTAAATTATTTATATAAAATAATTATTTCAAAAGATATTTTATAAGATTGAATTTGTAAGATTTATCATCTAAAGAAAAATGCGATACACGTCTATTCATATTTTTCTTGTTTCTTTACATATCAAGTTTTATGAAATTCAAATTAATAATTCAATACAGGTGATATGAATATATGTATTATGGAGATTTCTTATTCTTGACGTATAGTCGCATCATAAACTTTTCTGAAAAATGTAAAAGATGAAAAGAGTTTTTCTCTTATCTACTATTTTTTATACGCGTTCAAATAAATATACACAAGTCATTTTGAATTTTGTTATATTTTCCCGTTTTACAACTGCTTTTTATATTTTTTGATTTCCTTCGATATATTTAATATCTATTTAATATTTTTCACTATTACTTTAACTTTAAAATATTATATTTTAAATATTAAAATATTTAAAAAATGTTAATATCATTTTTATAAAAAATGAAGAACTGCATCGATTTATATATCCAAATGTACGATTGTATAAAAAAAAATTTTATATATTCCTATTTATTAAAAAAATTATATCAAATTGTACCCAATTATTCAAATTATTGAATTATTGTTGGAAAATTTTTTTGATATGATCGATATTTTTGAAATTATTTCAATTAATAATTCTTCGAAATTCGAAATTCAATGAATAATTTTTTTTTTTTTATTATTAAATTTTAATTGTTTTCTATGCAAATAGATCGAGAGAAAAAACGAAAAATTTGCATATAATTGTTTCATATTTTCACTAGTCTTGTTCTTATCTCATCATGTAGCGTATAATACATCAAATAACAATAATAACTTAAAAGAAATGCTATATAGATTACATCGAAACATCTAATTACAAAAATTTTATTTTATACAAATTCTTAGAATTTAAGCTAGTAGTACATTTTATTTTATTTCTTTCTATCGTTATATATATATATTCATTTTTATATAATGTATATAATACATTATGCAATTTTAAATTGCCAAAACTAAAAATATTGCTATCTAAAACTATAAAATCAGAACTGTTTTTCTAACATACAAATGCTTGAAAATTGGATTCTGAAAATATGGAATTAAAATAATTGAAATGTGATAGTATTAGGTTATGGTATGTTTTTTTTTGTACAGATATACAAGAATGCAAAAATAATCAAATATTCAAAAATTTTTTCCAGAATCAAGTCGAGTTCTCGAAAATATCTCGATATATAATGTGAATCTCTCGAGATTTTGAAAATCAATCGTGTTTCGGGACAAGCTTTAATGAACAGTATCGAATGTGCTTATAAACGACCAAGAAATAGATTGTAGAGTGTCACTTTTATGAATTCGGATCGAATCCGAACAATTCCGATCTGACCCGAACGATTCCCGAATATTTTCGGATTCTCTATTTTCTTACAACTATTCTATAACAAATATTTTTATAGTGTGTATATATTTACAATAATATAATAAAATATTTACAAAACATACAGAATATAATGATAACATGATTATGATAATACTAATTTTAATAATTGAAAAATTAAATTTGTTACAGGTTTATGGGAACGAAGGCAACGATTTACACGTACGGTTTGCCAGTCTTCCTGCTGCTTCTTTCTGCGGGTTATTATTTAATCAAAGCTGCAATTGTATCCAGGTATATCGTTTTTCGTAAACTCATTCGTTTCATTCGTTGATCCATAAATCTGTTCATGAGAAAAAAATCAAATTGAGAAATAAACGAAAAAAGAAGGGAATGCATTGTGTATTCATTGGTTACTATACGCTCGAACGCTTGTTCGATTTTCATCGCGAGTGACTATGTATAATTCAGTGGAACAAATCGAATCTTCGCTCGGGTTGATTTACTATTAATCTTTCGACAAGCTCGTAAGGGATATCTATCGATTTATGGATTGACTCGATAAATATGATACAAACTCTCTCCTTTGGCAACAAGCAATTTTAATTTAGCTTGTTAGAGTAATTATAGAAGAGATGCAATTGTATCTTACGAATTGAGGAAAATTTGAAGCGATAAAGAATGATATTCAATTGTTATTTTTTGATAATTTTTATAAAAAAAACTTATGTTTTCTTTTTATTAAATTGTCACTGTGAATAAGAAATTTGGAATATAACATCCATTTATGTCATTTAATA